CTATAATTGTGTTGGTGTATATCTGATCTTTTATCTCCAGTAGTATGTGTTTAATGAAGTTGTGTGCACCAGCATTTGGAGCATATAAATTTATCAATTTCATCTCTTGTTGAATTGTTCTTTTTACCAATATGTACTGACCTGCTTTGTCTCTTTTGATCAGGTTTGAAGTCTTTTTTATCTTAGAATAGGGCACCTACCTTGTTTGCAGGCTGTTACAAGAAATATTGTTTTGCACCCTACAGTCTTTAGTCTATGAATTTCTTTTTGGATTAAATGTATTTCTTCTATACAGCATATCATAGATTTTACTTCTTAATCCATCCTACTAATGTGTTTTGATTGAGGAACTGATACCATTCACATTTGGAGATCTCATTGAATGGTATTGTCTTATTTCTGTCTTTTCATTATTTTCCCATTCAAGATTCCCCACCCCGCGTGCACGTGCGCACACACACACACACACACACACAAAATTTTTTTTTCTCCTTTTGCTTCTCTGCTCAGGCTGCCTGGTGTATTTATTCTGTTAGACTTTTTGACATTATCGTTTTCATTCTTTCTTCATATCTTTTATTTTCCTTTTGTTTTCTTTTTATTGTGTTTCCAATACATAACATTTACATTCCTGTCTACAGTTGGTATATGTGCATAACACATATTTTATCTATCTTTTATTTTGTTCTGTATTTATAGCTTGGGTATCTTTGAGATATTTTTGGAATGCTGGTTTTGTGGTCATGAATTTTTAAGGTGCTCTTTCTTGTGAAAAGACCTCATTGATTCTCCATCAATTTTAAAAAATAATTTTGTTGGCTAACTCAGTCTGGGCTGGAAGTTGTTTTCTTTCAGGGCTTGAAACATTTTACTGAAAGCTCTCCTAAATTGCAATCTTTTCTCCTCACTTTCTCTCTTACTCCTCTTGTCATTTCCTTTTTATCACATGCATCATCAGATAGATTACCCCACTCTCTGTTTTACTTTTTTGTGAACCAATACTAATAAATGGAATATAAATTGAGATTAACATCTAAATTTACTATATATACTCACCCATGTTCTTGATAACTGGTATTTTTAAGAAGGTTCAAAAACCACATGTTCTATATTTCTAAGGTATGCTAGAAATTTCTTTAGCAGACTGAAAAGTGTATACTACCTTGATCTCCAAATTATAACAAGCTGTGCCAAAAATGAAGCCTTAATTCCCATAGTACCACCAAAACAGTATCCTCCAAATATCCAAGAAGAGAATTCCATTGTGAGGAGACACGTGTATAGAGTTATAATGAACTTTTGATATTTTTCTTAGGCGTCACCACTTTCTCTTTTGAAAATTTAGGCATATAGTGAATACACTGATTAACAATTCTAAGTTCAGGGGTATCTAGGTTCATGAACTCTTTTGTTTGTGAACAATTTGGTTAGCAAACAAGTGTTTGGCACAATTTTATTTTTGTTTGTGAACTCTGCATCAGGTGAACACATTACTGCAGCCACCTTCCATGTAAACATGAATATGACCATCTTTCCCAAAATTGTGGAATGAATTAAGTTCATGAACTGAGAGTAGCATTGTACTATGACAAATAACTATGAAAAAGTCTTTAAAAGTAGATATAATCGTCTTCATAAGACAACTAGAATGACAAAATGGTCAATCTAGGATTTAAGCCCAGATCATTTCCTCTCACACAAGTACATTTTTACTAATTGTACACACTACCTTATCTGTCCTGTTGATAAGAACACAGGCATTATTTTAACTGTTCAGGAGACAATGTCAGTATTTCTTAGTCTCTATTTTCTAGAAACTTTAAATTTTATTCTTTATAAGCTAAGAATGAATGATAATCAGTGGAAATATTTGTGTACTGTATACTTCAATTCTGGTAGAAAAAAATATTTTTAAATATATTTCTCTTGTACCCCACCTTACCTTTTCTGTATAAAGAACATCTATCCTCTTTCCATTCAAATAAGTCACTGGATGACTTTTAAGCTCCTAAATAACATGTCCTCTACCAGGCCTCAAATGAAGATGCATTTACTGAGCTGTGTAAATTCTTAATGTAAGATAAATTGAATATTTTTCAGGGGAAAATGATATTGGTAAATGATTTAATCTTTTTTTCTTTTTATTTGTTAAGCAATGTTATAAGTTTGACTCACTTTTTGTTCAAAGTATTTGCCAGGAGTTTCTTGATATTTAGTATGCTTAAATTAAGGGAGTACACCATATCATGGTTACTCTTAGTCCTTTAAGATGTTTCCAGTGTCAGTATCCAAAATGAAAAGATAAAATAGTCTCTATTTCAACATGCTAAATAAAAGCTAAAAGAATTAAACATTTATAGCTTATGTGCAATGTATCAGTTACATTTTCTGTTCATGGAAGACCACAGCCCAGAAATAAATTAAGAAGAATCGGAGTTTAACCGCCTAACCACGCATGTAAACTTGATTCTGCAAGATAATGTGCCCAAGACATTTATCAGTAGATGACTGAGGGAGAAAATGACCTCAGTGTTTAATTCTAAATCAGTATCTTGATAATTATATTGAAGATATATTTGGTTTTCAAGAAAAAATTTTATAAACTTAATGAAAGCATTTAGTAGCTATTTAATTATATTCATTTTATGCTTCCAATAAGAATGATAGAACTTTTACACCAGAAGGGCTCTGAAGGATTAAGTCAAATCCTTTTGTATAATAAATATTTTTATAAATTAATAGATATAATTAAAGTCAGTGGACTCCATAGTATTGACTGCAGTGATAATCACAGTGTACCACAAAGTCAAAGAAGAAATGAACATGAGTTCCACAGATCATCTGCATATATTAAGAAATTTAACCCAATTAGAAAGAGTACCCAAACATTATGATCTTCACAACAAGCATAATGCCTGAATTGCAGCTATTAAATCCTTGGGTTTTCTATTAGTAGTTTCTATTATATCTAATAAGCTTTTGTAAAAATTAAAGCATAGTGGTGCTTATACACATATATTAAGACACAATGAGCCATAATGCCTCTTTTTGTATCATTCATAGCTCATTAAAATTGGAGGCAACATGAGGAAAAAGAGGATCTTATTTCTTTACTTTGACTATAGGGTATCTTAACTTTAAAAGAAATCAACATCTTGATTTTCATTTGAAATACTAAAAGAAATTATACAAAACTTCAGTCATTTATGGATAATTCAACCTGGAAGTTACCCACATAGAAATGAATGAAATCAGAGAGCACTTTGCTTTCTTATCTCCACAAAGTAGAAATAGCTACTAAATGATCACTAGTTTAACTTTTTACTAAAAAATTTAAATATATTTTCTAAAAAGTAAAAGTATTAATGGACTGTAGAAAAATACTACCCAGGTTTCAAAGGTTTGGATTTTAAACACTGCAGTCCTTTTGTATTTTCTACTAGTGTCTTTTCAACAGACTTCAACAGATGTCAGCTAGAGTCCACAGCCCACTCTACAACTCCAGTGTGCAGGCTTTGAACATCATCTTTATAGGTGATGTTTCAGGACTGACTAAATTAGAATAGTTCCTCAGGGTTGAGTCTTTCCACAGAAATCCATAACCTTAAGAATGATATGCTCAAAGAGAATATTAAGTCTTAAATTAGGACATTTTCACAGTCATTGCTGTAATGCCATCATATTTTCAGTGGAATTCCACCTGAGTTCTTCCATGAGAGTAAAGGTTATCTAATTCCATGTAACTCTTAGGGAACCCGTAAGAATGAAGCCCATAGATAAATAATCTTTAGTATATTTGCCACTATGAAAAAAAATAAGGTAGGTAACTACTTCTGTATATATATTTTGCTGCTGTATAATCAATCCTATATTGTCAGTTTCTACATGAAGCTGAGCAGGAGAAGAATTTTGTTTATGGAGAGAAGTACCCAAGATAGTACAGTTTGGACCCCAGAGAATATAGGTTACTTTTGTAGAGCAAATTATATATTTATAGGGTTTTCTCCCCACCCTCCTGGGCCCAGAGAGAATTATTTTATTTTCTTTCTAGTACTATATAAACTCCATTTCAGTTTTTTCTAGTGTATAAAATTCTGTGTGACTACCTACCAGTAATTAATAGCTTTTCATCCAAGTATGAACTATACAGGAGTGAATTTATTGTTTATGAGTATATCGATATCATTTAAGAAATATATTCTAGGATAGAAAGGCAATACTAAAGTGTAAAATTGCTAATGCAGGCTCATAGCCTGGAAAATGATCTCTTTTAATAGTTTTCTTCATTTAACGGTTCATCATTTGAAAATGTTCCCATTCAACTGCAGATTCTTTGGTGTGGTGCAGTGAAGGGGAAATTTATTCCTTTGACACATTTATTCTTTTAATAGTTATTCACTTGAAAAAGTTTCTCTGAGTTCCTACATATTTTGCCATGTGCAAAGAGATTGATTCTTGACAGATTTCTTAAAATATTTATTCATATAAGTAGAGTATCACTCTATGGCATTGTTGAAGTTTCTTTAAACTGGAACTTCCTGGAGATTGTGGTAATACAGTAACGGAATCAACCTGTGCATTTTCCAGGGATTTTGTAAGCCCAAGGTGACAAAAAAAACTGTTTCACCATTTGTAAAGAGGAGAAAATCATGTAAAGGATAAAATTTGCCTAACCACTAGTAGATATCCTTAGTTTTATTGTTACTTATGATTTAGACATTGCTAACAAAGTATTTAACTGAGAACTAATTTAGCAATATAGCATGTGCCAAATAAATAAAAATATGTGTCAAACATATATATAAAATATTCTATGAATATTTGAAAGCATTCCATCACAAATATTTTGATTTGGTATTTGACCATTCTAACTTCAAACCAATGTTTGACTTATTTAGTCAGGATTTTGCCCAGTTTTCACAGGGTCGTGATTTGACTGTATTGTAAGGGACTTACACATCTGTTCGTTTTCCTCCCTCTCATCTACTTTTTATCCACAGTTCCAAAAACAGCGCCTACCAATGTGAGCGGAAGAAGCGGAAGACGACACGAGCTGGTCATCGCCTGGGAGGTACGAAAGCCTTTACAGTTGTTGAAACTGTTATTTCCTTAAACTAAAGCTTAGGAGTACCTTTACTCTGTTACAGACAGCTTTAGTAAATTCTTGTTTAAGTGAAGTAGGACACTTTGAGTATGTATTACTTGATAATATGAGTTTTTCTCATTTCCATGCAAGGCCCCAGGTGCTATTTTGGCCAACTTGTAAAATATGCTTTCCTGTCACGCTGGCTATCTCAAACCAAAGAGTGAATGATTAAAGCATGTCCTCTTGCAAAATTGCTTCACCTGTCTGTTTGGCTCATTTTGATATTTAATTATTTTACAGTTAAGTAGTTACTTTGACTTATTTAGAAACCGCTGGGGAAGAAGAAATTAACCACCACTGGATACACAACACAGAGCCTAGGTTATCTTATTTAATCCATACAAGCATCCTTCCAGTAGAGATGATTGTCATCATTTTACAAATTTTGAAACTAAAGAAAAATTTAAGTACTTCCCTAATAAATAAAATTAGGCCAAAGATTTAGCTTAGTGGTTCTACACAAGGTCCCAAATTCAATCCCCGGTACCAAAAAAAAAAAAAAAAAATTAGGACAAAATTTGTATTCTTTCATCTACCATATCTTGTGGCCTCGAAAATACTTTTTGTCAAAGGAAAACAGTGGGAGTAGTAGATGTTTAAGGAGTATATTTACTTTCCACAAAGACACTGGACTTTTCCATGAAGCCATTTTCCCATTATTAATGTAAAGCCTTGGCCTAGTATACATTCAGCCCTGGGTGTCCATCTCCAGCACTGGAAAAAGTAACATTTCTACCATATCTTGTGGCCTCGAAAATACTTTTTGTCAAAGGAAAACAGTGGGAGTAGTAGATGTTTAAGGAGTATATTTACTTTCCACAAAGACACTGGACTTTTCCATGAAGCCATTTTCCCATTATTAATGTAAAGCCTTGGCCTAGTATACATTCAGCCCTGGGTGTCCATCTCCAGCACTGGAAAAAGTAACATTATTAAATTTAACTATGTAGCCCACAGAACTGTGCCTTAGAATCAACAGACATGGATGTAAACAATGTCTGCTGGAGAATTAGAACTAACTTCTTTACAAACCACAATAAAGTGTGGAGTAAAACATCTTTTTGCAACAAGAAATTGTCTCTCCATTCTTCTGCTCATTCCTCTTAATGAACTTTCATGTCCTGCTTTCGATTTCTGCAGCCATATTAACTTCCCAATATCTGATCTTCACTGAGATCTTATCTCTGTAAGTGGAATTGCCCTTTCCCAATAAACTTTGATATAATAGGCTTGGTTCTCCTTCTTTCACTCAATACTAGAAAACCCTACCAATTTTTTTTAATATGTACTATGTGTCAAGCACTGTGCTAGTTAGTGTCTCATATCTTTGCTCCACTGACTTGTCAGTCACAACTACTTTCTATGACAGGCAGCTGAAACTTACTTAATAAATTTAAGTGTAAGCCATATACATATACCACAAAAATTTCCTTGAAAAAGTCCCATAGTCCAGTTGTTTTGCATGTTATTAGTACACTGATGCAGTTGAAAAAATTCTGGATGAAAGGTCTTACATTAACCAATTTTAGATGTGTTGTGCAGAGTGCTCTGCTGAGCGTTACCACTGACTAGACATTCCCAACCAGCAGACCATAAGAACGTTTTCTCAACGTGTTAAATTCTACTGTGGAATCTAAGGCCTTCATTTCCTATACACAACTAATTGGAACAAATGTATTTCACTTCAAGAGTTTTCAATACTCTTGTGAGTTTTCTTACATGCCAAATTATACAATTTTTCATTTTTAACTTTTAAAGGCTTTTAAGTTTCCCAAAATTGCCAAAGTACTTTGCTATCTTAATTTCCACTATAGTGTTAGGTTTGAGGTACTTTTTCTCCAGCTCTCCATCATTAAAAATTTAGGATTTGGAGGAAGTGTCAGTTTGTCTTAGTCATATTGTGATAATTAATTGTGCTTGTTTTCTTAGCCAGTATCTGAAGAGTTTCAGAATGGGGAAGGCTTTGGCTATATTGTGGCTTTCAGACCCAATGGAACACGGGGCTGGAAAGAAAAAATGGTGACATCCGCAGAAGCTTCCAAATTCATCTATCGAGATGAAAGTGTCCCTCCACTGACTCCTTTTGAAGTTAAGGTTGGCGTTTATAACAATAAAGGGGATGGACCTTTTAGTCAAATTGTGGTCATCTGTTCAGCTGAAGGAGGTCAGTTCCTTTATCCCTCTTATTTGATTCAACACGGTAATATCTTATTTTGTTATTTGAATAATGAGAATGTTCTTATATTAGAAAATCAATAAGCCAAGATAAAATAATATTTATAATACTGCATTTTTTAGATATGTATTTCTAAAAGGTTTTTGAAATTTGTTAATAAAAACAAATGTCTACACACGCTGCTTTATGTGCCTCCCTCCCTAGCAGTATACAGCAAACATCTTTCCATAATAGTAGTAGTTCCAGTATTGTATTCCATTCTCTAGGAGATATTTAACCAAACTTCTTTGGTTAGAAATTTAAATATAAACAGAAATCTAAATGAAGGCTATTTATATTGCCAATGAACATTTATTTCCAACTCTAATTCACAAACCATTGTATTAATATAGATGGATCAGGCAGGGCTTTCAGATGTTCTTCATATCATTAAATCCTCATAATAATTTTTGTAACAGACATTGAGTAGAAGGAGAAATTGCAGCTCAGAAAATTAAAAAACTTACTAAAGATTACACAGTTTGTAACTGAGAGTTAAATTCACACCTCTCTAATTAAATCCTTGATTTTTTCAAAGTACGCTGCCATCATACAAGTGGGCCCACTTAATTATTTAGATACAACTAAGTGGGCATTACCTAGCCACAAATATAATTACATTTTGCTGCTAAGTAAACTGTAAAACTGACTACTCACGCTTAGACTCAACAGGTGGCAGATCTAAACTGTAAACCCACTTTCCAATATTGAAATCCTGCTCGTTCAAGTTTTCTAAGTAAAGAAAATACGATTAATCTACCACCCTTAAATTAGCTTTTACTCGTAATTCTCTTATTCAGGTCCAGAATTTCAATTGTCCTGGCCAATAAAAATTATTTCTTGTTTGCTTCCTATTACCTAAAAATGAATTTACAAATGAATGAGAAAACATTACAGAAAAGGCAGCACTCATTTGATCTTTTAGATTCGTGTGCTCATCATAAACTGACTCCTGTACTTCTTTCATGTCCAATATTCTAGGAGTTTTGAGCTTTGTGAAAAATAATATATAAGGTCATTTGAATATAGAAGAATACAGTGTTTAATTTATGTAAAGCTGTAGTTTTCCATTAAAATCCACCTTGCATTTTTAAAACATAGATCCAATTTTTGAAGCAAAAGCAAAAAATTGAACCTCACTGAAGAATGGCCAGGAAAATAAAGAGATAAGTAACAATAAGGAATCACAGCTATTCCATGCATTTAACATCTCAAGTTCTGCTGTGCTTTCAGATCTAGCCTGTGTGCTAATTATTTATTTTATAATGTAACCCATTAAAACCAAGTACATATAAGGACTGAATATCAAGCTAAAATCTTCGTTTCCAACAGTTGAGCCTCAGTGAGGCTAAGTAACATATCCAAATTCACACCAATGACAGAATTGTAAATAACAATAGTAAGTGACACAGCTAGGATTGTCACCAGGTCTATATGATTATGAAGCACAAGCTTTAACCCCTAACAGTCTTACCAGGGATGGACATAATAATGATATTTTCCATTATTTATTACTCCAAAGATCTACTTTGAAGCACATGTTTTATTCAGGAAGTGCATATTATTGTTGCTTTAGAATTGTTACAGCCTAATTATCAAGCACATAGCCTCAAAGGTCACATGAGGTGAGCTGCAGAAGTTTGTGTACATGCTTTATTTGGTAACTCCAGTGAAGCCTCTAAGATATCCAGCTTTGTTAAATTTCTTATGTCTTTGATTTGAAATTAAATTATTGCCGCTACCCTTGTTTAAATGCCATGTTCCCTTAAACATGCATGGATTGCCTTTGGAGATTTCTCTTTCAAGCTAGAAAGGAAACATGCATATTTTCTTTCAAAGACTCTGAGGTTGTTGCTGTAACATATTTCATGATGACACTTCATTTATTTGTAGACTAAAATATGAAAGATACTACACAGATGAAAACTGGATAAAGCCTGCTTTTGTTCAGACAATAAAATGCAAATGTACATTTGGCATTTTCTTACTAATTAAATATATAAAATTAGAATTTTATGTGTAAATATAAGTATAATAGTATTTTGTTTTGTTTCAAAAAAATAAAGCAGGACGGGAAAAGAAATGCTTTTGCCTGGAGTCAGCACGGTCTGAATTGAAATATGGTCACATATGATTTGGAGCAGTATTTACCTCTTCGGAACCTATTTTGCTATACTTTAATTGTAAAGTTTTTGAATAGAATGTCTCTGAAAGTCTTAACAAATCTCAGAGTGAAATTCTGTCAATTTAGTCTATGTTTGAAAACATTCTTTTGAGCAATTGTCCCAAATAAGTAGTGATAATAAATTGGTTTTTGCTACACAGTAAAAGCAGACAAATTAACATTTTTATTCAGTTGGAAAATTACCTTAATTGAAAATGAGTGACCATTTCAAAGATTAAACCAGTTTTTAAGAGTCAAGACCTGTAATACATTCCTAAAATAACAGGTTTTAGTTACTTCTGCACATGCAGGCTCCTTCTACTTTCTTTCTATTCATACAATTCTTTGTGTTTGTACTTGGATCAAGCCCCACAGATCTGACTTAGATTGCTCTGCTTAAGAAAAATTCTGCTTCTTTATTCTTCCATTACCCCAGTCCACTTTTTGATCACTTTCAAATCCCTCCATCCTTATTTACAGTAAAGAACAAGCCCATGAGACTGCATTTCTATTTAGAAGCTTACCTCTTCTTCCTATCAAGAGCACTAGTTATATACCTAGAGCACCAAGAAAAAGCCACCTTTTCACAGCTGACACAGCTGGAGGGGAAAGGTGTTACCATGCAGCCACCAGAATTTGTGCTACAAAGACATACAGGCATACCTTACAGGACTACTTCTTAAGCTGTTCCCCACTGGAACATCAGTGATGGATGACATACCCTTCAGAGGTGCTTATTACCATTTATCCATATCCTTCATCTTTTGCTTTCAAAAAAGCCTACTAGATGGGGCCAGGGATTTAGCTCAGCAGTTCGGTGGCCTGCCTTGCATGCACAAGGACCCTAGTTCAATCCCCGGTACCAAAACAAACAAACAAACAACAAAAAAAAAAAACCTACTAGAATACAAATAAGAATTACATTATTATAAGGAGAACCTTGAGTCAACCTGTTACCAAAGGGAATGATCACTTGCAAATATTGATACTTGGTAAATCACTCCAAATATGACCTTGACTTTCACATTGCTATTGTGGACTATGGCCCTAGAGTCCTACCAGAAATTGTAGCAAGCGATTCTTTTGCTAACATTCTTGAACTTTTGAAACCTTTCAATATTTCCACAACAAAAGTAACCCTTAAAGGCTCTATCAGTGCAGAAAAACATCTGACATAAGCCTGGGAGGAAAGATTTTGCCTGCCAGAATTTCCATGCATCCCATACATCTATCACATATTTATGCATGGTAAAACATGAAATAAAAAACTATGTACACTCCTAATCCTGAATGAACTACAGATCTTTAGGGAATGGTAAAGTCCTGAGCAATACACTCATTTTTAAGTAATTCCATTTTTTTAAACACTAGTAAACTTTCAACACAAATGATTTTAAAAGGCTGGTAAAATTGATTTTAAAATTTCCAAGATAAAAAGCCAAATCAATGGTTCACTTTCACATTTCTAGAAAAATTTAATAGTTAAACTTATATCCATTTTCCCCTTGGTTCTTATTACTGTAGCTTTGGAAAAGAAGAACCAGAGCATTTAGTTATACCTAACAAAAAAATGAACAGAATTAAGTTATACATTCAATATACAGCAGATTAAAAGATTTTTTGTGGTATACTTTAGCCTTTTCAGAGTAGGTGGGATTTTTTTGTTGGGGGGGTGCTTTTGCCTTATATTGAAAATGTGTGCTGCATTTATTTTTATTAAAGCCTAAAAGCCTATCCTCATTTAAAGAAAATGATATGCAATTATCTCCTTGCAAACAGAGCTACCACAGTTCAAATTAAAACCCAACATTCGTAAGGCGTTATTCTCCAGATGAGTTCTTAGCTGAAAGTGAGCTCAGTAGGATTTATGTGAACTTGGAAATTAATAAATTGGCATATTAGTTATAAAATACAGGAAAATTTTCCTATCTTTGCCAATAATCTATTTAGATTAATGCCATAAAAGTTCAACTACAGCTGTCTTCACTGAATTTTTAAATAATGAAATCATAACCTTTCTTCCCAAGGAGTTTATTAAATTCTCCTCTGATTAATGCTGTTGCTCACCCTTCTTGCGTCAGATGTATAATCAATATTACAAGCACATGCCCCCATATTACTTGGAAAACTCTGGCTACTAGGTCACTTAAAACAAATGTATCATATAAATTCATGAACATGGTAATACTGTTCAAATTTTTTAATCTAACAGATCCTGAAATCTCTCAATGAGCATGTCCACTTCATATCCCTAGATTGAAGTAAAGGAGTTATCTGTGGCCTCCTTAATATCATCATAAGTGAGAGAAATAGATCCTTTTAAGTCTTTCAGTCTACTAGACATAAAACCGGTTTAATCTCAGACATAAGTTCCTGAATTTTCATTTTACCTGAGTGTAACAGAAAACATCGTGTGATTTAAAGTTCAGGAGAGTTTTATAAGTGCCTAAGTGTGAAACGTTCTGTTAGGAACAGTACAGCTGTGGTTAAAACTTTTAAAAAGTCCATGAACAAACAATAAAGGGAGTTGTGGCAAAGTCAGTGGGGGATAAAATGGGGCTAATTTCTGGCAAGACCTAGAAGTAGAGAGCACAAGCAGGGTGAATTCAATATGCAAATTCTTGAAGGGATTTAGAAGTAGAGATGAGGAGCGAAGAGAACAATCAGGTGTGCACAGCACGACATGCCCAGAAGCATAGAAATCGGGCAGTTACAGCCTTGCTGCCTGTGTTCAAATCAATCCCTCCACCACTTGGCAGCATGTGATCTTAGGCTGCTTAACTTC